ATATATTTATATATAAAAATTATTTATATATTTGATTATTTTATTCTTCAGAATGCATCATATGAAGATACAGTTCTAGCAAATAAAATGTTCAATCTTAATGCTAAATCAGAAAAGGGATTAAAAGGAATTAAATAAACTCAGCAGATTTTTAAAAAGCCCAAAACAACACTAAAGGAAGTGCATATGAGCCAGCTCATCTGTGGATAGCAAATGCCACCTGGAACACTGACAGCAACTTTCAAAACAGTTTAGGAGTATTTTTTTCTTACCTTGTCAAGCATTTCACATCCTCATCTGTTGCTTGATTAGATGTTCCCATAACCCAGTCTGTCAAATATTCCACCATTTTGTTCCTGTTACATATAGATAAACTGCTTTAGCTTTGGGTTTATTTTGGTTTGGTTTTAAATAGCCTCAAACACACATCATTCTTAATTATTACAAATTCAGTGTAAGAACTATTTGAACCACCACACACTGAAGATGAACTGAATTAATTTTATTATACCAAGCAATACCCCAGGCTGTATCACACAGAATTTTTACATGTGTTTAGTATCCCCACAATCAAAATAAAATTTTAATGCAGTATCAGGCTCTGAATTATTCTAAAGACAGACAGGGGTACTATCCCTATACCAGGAATAATGGTGTGAGACTATTCTGGGGGGTTTTAAAAATTTTTTTATATGTATAATAAAAAAAAATTACACTTGTCCTCATTATACTATCCTAGAATTGATATAATGCAATACTTACCTAAATTTCATTTCTTGGCAAAATGAAAGGTCATCTCTCCTTTCCATCATTACTTCTACTAACTGACAGAGTTTAGTTTTTATTTGAATTGCATGTACCAAATTTCCAAGCACACGCACATACCTGAAGAAAGAAGTGGAGAGATCAATTAAACACTTCATGCCACTTCACACTACAAAGCCCACACATCTGACAAGTCTTTTCAGCTCCACGCTGGAACCTGCACACTGGCTGACCCAGCAGACCTGCACAATGGGGTAGCAAATGTTTGGATTGCAAGGAGGAGGATCAGAGAATCAGCTGCTGCTTCTCCATGGATGCAAGCAGAAAAGATATAAACTAGAAGGGTCACCTCACTTCTTAACATGTGACTTAGTACAGGAAGGTCAAGAGCATGTCTTACCTAACCAGGTTTAGCATCATTGTCTCAATACTAGCTTGTCCAAGATGTTCTGAGCTCCCTTCTGTATGATTGTCAAGCAAATTCTTCATTATCGCAATGGTTTGCTCTACAAATTGTGTGTTGGTCTCGGTTAACAAAACCTACAGGAAGAAAACTGCCAGTCTTAATTCTTTACACACAAAAACAAAAAAGAGCATTTATCAAATATACTTCAGCATTTCAAAAATCTACTAGTATCACCTAGCCAAAACAATTCCAATATATGTTAGTATTAAATATGTCAGTACTGCCAGCCATAACAATTCTGAAAACATTCTCACAGATTCTGTACTAAGAATTCAAGAATGTTTTCAATTACTTGATGTTAAATATAGCCTGGAATCACAAATACTATAATTATTAATGTATGCTGTCAAATACAATCACACTGCTTGCAGGTTTTTTTGTACAAAACACAAACAGGTTACAATTTCAATTACCTATGTGAAAGACAAGATTGACACTTTTCATTAAGACATAAATGTGAGGGACTATATTGACACTTTACCTGCCCTTGAGAATCAAAAAACTTGCTGATGGTATTCTTCAGTTTGTTAAACAGCATTGGATAAAGTGCTGGACTCAACTCCAAACCCACCAGATCTTTAATATTAGTCCGTATCTGAAGTCCCACTTTCTCATGGTTACAGACCATCAGAGTCAATAATCGATCGATGAATTTGCTAACGGGACTCTCTGCATTTCCCTCAGTGGACACCATGGAGATCATGGAGCCCTTGCGCTCGTTGACAGGGCCCATAGGTGGACTGTAGGTTGCCAATCCTGCATTGCTGCGATGCTGCAGGCACACTCCTCCAAGGGCACACAAGAACCCTGTCATGTTGATCCACTCCTGAAGAGAATCTGTGTCAGACAAGTCTATGGAGCCTCCCCCACTCACATGCGACATTCGTCTCTTAACAATTGTCTTGTGAAGACTTTCAGTAACCTGAAAAAGAACGGCTGAAGGTGAAATATCTTCAACTGAACATAACTCATGGAGAGAGATCAGGATTTTAAAGTATTCCCTAACACATTCTGCCATTTACAACTCCAGACTCACAATGTTTCTAAGATTCACCTTTTACAGTTTATTGTGATAAATCATAAAGTCCATATGGAGGCACTGTTTTTAGAGAGGTTGAAAATGCAAGGCTAGAAAGGACTGAAGGGGGTTGCCCAGTCAATTCCCTGTTCTGCACCAGATAAAGCATGTTTAAATCATAACCAGCAGCTTGTTTAAAAACTTCCAGTGAAAGGGATTTCATAATTTCTCTAGTAGTATTCCAGAGTTTTCACTATTGTTTTTTCAATTTCTTTTTAATATTTAAGCTCAAGCTTCACCTCCCTTACAGCAATTTAAGTCTAATTACTTCTTGGCTTTTTAGTAAGCACAGCAAACAACTGATTACTGTTATTTTTCTGGAATACTTTCATGGAGCTTAAGTCTGCCTAAAAAACTCACTTTCTGGATTAAAAATCATTTCCTTAAAATAAATAACCTTAAATAGTTATTTTTAATTTCTAACGATTGAACCTATGAAAAAATTCTTAGTCACCTGCCCATCTTCCATTTTGGTCTTTGGATAGTTAAGGATTAGTTTTGTAGCTTGTTCCCATTTTGCATGTGTATCCTCCCAGGCCTAAAATAAGATAGAAAGATTTAACTCCAAAACTACTTAGAGCAACAGTATTTTCTGTTTCCAAAAAATACGCATGCAAAGAGTATATGAATTCAGAAGGAAGTTTACCTCTGTGTTGCCTGCAGTTGGATGTTCAATGCGTCTTAATAATGCCATCACTCGTTTCTGAAGAGCTGCTCTCCCTACAAAGGGGCACAGAACACAACCAAGTCTTTTGAAAACTCATCTGCATCAAATATGAGATCTTTGAAAGTAATTATTAAATTAACAGTGGAACATATCCCCTTAAAGTGCTTAGGAAAGGATTCTTCTTGCTACACTTTAAATTCTCATTAACTCAGTCACCCAAATTCTCTACTCTTTCTAACAATTCCAACAATTAAGATATTCCAGTGAAAGCAGAAGAAAGCAGCCACCAAATAATCTCAACCTGTGTAAAGCACTCAAACACAACTCATCATCTCATTACACAGTTAGAAAGGTATTTTACAGATGCAGGATTCTTACCTGTCGACATCATATTGCTAACAGACGCAAACTCCATGAAAGTATTATAGTTTGGCAAAAAATTATGCACTGAGACTTCATCTACTCCACATCTGATATCTGCTTCCTCACAGAGGTGACGGAAACAGGACATTGCAACAAGGACTGCCTCGATATCCGGGCTCCACAAAAACATGTATAAGGCAACTTCCAATTTTGTTTGGGCTTGGCGACAAATTGGTGTTCCACTGCATCCAGCTGTACTTTCCTTGGGAAACAGAGAATTCCAAATTTGGTAATATTGCTTATGAATATGGCAATTTTATTAAAATTCAGCCTTAGCAAAATTGTTCTTTAAAGCTGCTTTTATTCCAGCAAAAACACAATCCTAAACAAGATCAGAGCTCTCATATGCTGCTTCATGAACGCAGTGGCTTAGAACCTGCTCCTTTCATAAGGGTAACTATGTACTTAGGAAAATCTTACTGATACTGAAAAAGTGCACACCAAACACAAAATTAAAGTTTTGGCTCATAAAAGGTGTTCTAAATATCCTCTTCATCTAGTAGTAAAACTAGGCTTGAGAAACTTGTCTGTCAAAGGTATACCTTCCTAAAATGCTTGATTTTATGATCTTTCATGGTACATTCAAACTGCATGTGATACTTCAAAAAGTGAGAGTTCAGATTTATTAACAACAGACTAATGTGTAGGGATGTTATGTGCAATCCTAAGAAAAAAATATTCACCATTTTAACTGGACAAAGGTGTGACAAACTTCATTATTAACCAGCATATTAGATACATACATTATGTAGGATACTGATGTCTCTTCCTCCATAGAAATAATTAATTTTATTTTTAAAATTTACTTGCAAACTAATTCAACTTCTACTTGCACACAGGTGTTTAAAAAGCATATTACTTACCATGGAAGAATTCCCTTTGCCTTTCCTGAGGGTAGCTCCTGGACACCGAATCATCTCTTCATGGTCAAGAGAAATTTGACTAGTTCCACCTCCAGAGACATCATAAACAAAGAGGAAGTGGCAGGAACTCCTATCTGATTGCTATCAAGAGAGGAAAGGAAAATAATAAATCAACTTACTTTTTAACAAGGGTAAAAAGGATAGATTTCAGGAAGGTAAAAAGCTCTTCAACATTTACACAGTACTTTTCACACTGGTGCTCTCAGGGCTTTATAAAGCCACCCATATTAATGGTAACTTGGAATGATATTTCCCCTTAAGAAATTACCTGGAGAGTCATCTTCAAAAAACATCACCTTGAGGTAAGTACAAAATGATGCCTTTTCCTCCCTTCCTTTGAGCCTCCTGAAAGCCCTATAGGCTTCTTGGTTTTACTCCATGGAATACATACTAATGTAAATATAATTATAATTTAGATGTAATTAAGTCTAAAGCTCAGAAGTACTGTACATTTCATTCTATACATTTTATACTAGATGAGAAAAGCAGGAACTGGGATTGTGAAGCAGAGCTCTAATAACAACTATTATCTTTTTCTGATCCTGCTATTAGTGAACATCCTCCAAGCACTACAAGGAAAGTAATTCAAAAAGTAATATAGTGAGTCTGGTTTTAATTCTAGCAAGTTTAGTATTACACTGTGTGTTTGGCTTGGAAAAAGTCTCCTGAGATTATCGGAAAGAAGCAAGTGAGAATCCCAGGACTCACATGAACATGAGATCCAAAAATAAATTTTTATTTCATTGGTGAAGAGCTATATTTTATCATAACTAACTTTCCCTATTCCTCACCTTGTGGACTATTTCCCTTTGCATTAGGCAAACAGGTATCAGGCACCAGGTTTCTGCGAAACATACATTTTCCAGGCAAGTAAAACAACCTGTGTAGCTAAAGTTAAAAATAGAAAAATTAAAAAAATCCTAAACCTAACTTTGGTTAACAATTCTAATCAAGAGTGCCTCACAGCAGAGAGGAAATCAGAAAACTGAAAGTGTAGGTGTAGCTATTAAATCTCTTCCCATCATAAAAATAACCTGGTAAATAAAGGGAGTGACAAAACAGAGAGCAATTCATTTTAATGATCCTAACAGACAGATGTTAACATTTACTTACTTTGTTTTTTAGAAGAAATTTATTCCTACAGATGAGAATCTCTCGCAGCCACTTGAGGATTTCTGTACTGCTGAGCATCTGATGACTAGTTAGTTTCTTGCAGATATAAAAAAGCATCTGCGAACTGCAGCAAAACGAGACTCAGCATTAGCTCTGTGATCTAGTCATAAAATCTGTGAAGATACTACTACATTTTACATGGAAATAGGCAATGAGCATGAATATCCTAGACATATGCTAGCATCATCTTTTAAAATGTGTAATAGATAGAACAGAGGTGTGTACTTTAAAGGAAAGCTCCCCTCTGACCCATCCCACCGCCCAGCTGGCCTCTGGAGTTCCCTAGAGGAAGTGAAGTGATTTTGGGTACTTGTTAGAAGTCCAGACTCCAGGCTGTCGATTCAGCAGTCCTCCATTTATCCACAGAACAGATACAGCACAGACAGTGGCAGTACAAGTTTACCTACACTGCTCTGATAACGTGTCTCAACTCTGTTCTGGAAGGAACACATCTAGGGATGTTCCTTCTTCATATCCATTCAGGCCTCACACTCTCTGTTAAAACTGCCAAAGGGTCCAAATTAGTGTCAGTTCTAATGGGTTTTTCCCCCAGCCCGAACAGACCACAAACTCATTTATACTACTAGAAATTACAGTAATGAGTTTCAGTTATCGCCCAGCTAGGCAGGGCTCAGCCCCACACCTATCCCATAATAAGCCCCTTGAGCCATCTGTAGCAGTCATGCAGGCCAATTTGTTGATGCTGGTAAGAGTGTTCCTCCTAGACTGTCATCCCTTTTCTTCTAAAGCAATCATCTACCAATTCAGATTAGATCACTACACATTTATTTTTAAAATTGTTTAGCTTATGCAGTTCTTAGAAATCTGAGTTTACAGATTCTTATTTTTTTGGTTTAGCATTTGGTGTAATTCTGACTTTTTTGGAACTTCATTTCTCCTAATATTCCCCAAGAAATCAACTGCAACGGCTGCTGTGAAGTTATAAAAAGCAAGATAACTTTAATGCATAAAAATTCTTGAAATACACAAGAAATACAAATGGAGATCACAGGTCAGGGCAAACCACTACCTTCTTTAGGCGAAGGCTTTAGAGTCAAGATTTGACAATCCACACTTCCAGAATTGCTCAGCATTGCCCTCCCTCAGCCCCAAAAAAAACAGAATTTAAACAAGCAGTAAACATTTGAATGAGGTGGAAAAGTCTCTAACTTTTCAAACCAATAATCATTCTGCACCTTAACATCAGGCTGAACACAGCCATTAAGAAAGCCAGCAAAATACTTCTTATATTTTGTTAAATTTGTGTAACATGAGGAAGATAAAATGTTTTCATGAACACATAATAATTTTGACTGCAGATTCATGCCGATGTTGCATAGATTTCCCAAAACATTCACAGCTATTTCAAAAGAGAAGACAAATCAAAACAGCTATTTCTCTAATTTACAAAAGTTAACTTACATACCTAATTTCCCAGAATGTTTCTATAGGTGCATCAGGATTCCACAAGTCAATGCTGTCTAACTGGTGAAGAACTAGCAAGGCCTGAATTCAAAACAAGGTGGTTTCAATTACAGGCAGAAATTTACAAAGTTCACCAGCACAGGCAGAGAAATCAGTGCAATCACATGGTAATTACTTTGTTTTAAAAACAGCACAAGACACAAATGAGGAAAGTCTAAGCTATTTTTTCTCACAAATTAAAAAAAGTTTGCTGAAAAAAGATTGCTATTAAAAATGGTATTTTAAAAAACAATCCATATTGTTCTCCAACAATATTTAAGTAGTTATTTCAAACTGCTTCTTGTTTGAAACAATATTCCAGAACTTATTTAGTAACTTACTAGTCTTCTTTTACAAGAGAGATTCTTGAATTCTACCATTAAACTATCAAGAAATATGTATTTTGTATATTGTTAGGGAGAAAACAGAAAAGAAATTCCAAGTTCTCTGCAAAGATGGAACAGAGGAACTGTTGAACTGGATTTGATCAACACCAGGGATGAACAAAGCATATTAAGAGGTGCAGGAAAGTCACAAGAAGCAATATTAATTGCTTTTTAAAATTTTCTTACAGGCTTCTCCTGCAAAACTTTCAGTGCAGGAGACATTTAGAAAAAACTCCAAGACACAGAACTTCAAAGCTAATCGACACTTCAGAGCTTCTACAACAGCCCCGATTTATCTGTGTACGAACCATGTGGCACAGAGAACATGTGCCCCTTACCTCCATGGCTTCTTGTGCTATATCTGGCATGTTGGACTGTGGAACAAGCTGCACGAGGCCTGTAATTAACTCAGCTGTGCTACCTTGTGTCTCAGGCCCTTGTTTCCTTGGATTCTAAACAGCAAAAAGGAAAGCAGGTTTAAATTCTAAAACTTCTTAATGACCAACCCCATTACTGACCCCTGAAGTGGCAAAACCCAGGGGGATATCTGGATCTTTAAGAGGGTGCCTCATTTCTTTTTAAGTTATGATACACCTTGCATATCATATCTTCGACAGAATTTAAATATTTTTAAATTAAACAATAAACAGATGTGAAAAAATGGAAGATTTAAGAGCGCATCTGTCTTTGTGCTCATTGAAACGATGACTCATTTCCCACTGCCTTATTTTAGTTTTCCTCTTGTTCTATTCCCCTCTCCTACTCCCCCCATCCCCACTTCAGAGTTACAGGGCTTTATGCTTCCTGTCACTGGTTCTGTAAAATTTCTTACAGTCTCTTTTTGTCCTTTTCCTTTGAAAGGGCAGAAGCATTATAACCAGAGGAAAGAACGAGTAGGGAAGTATCCTCCATTGCAGGTTTATGGTTTTATTTTTTATTCATTTAGTAGCATCCAAAGTAAATTTTACTGTGAATGAATAATATGATACACTTACACACAGCAAAAGCTTTGGATCAGCATGGATCAGTTTCACCAGGGATAACAGCAAAAACTTGTAGCTTCTGGTTTCCAAATCAGTAGGTTTTTCTTTAAATTTAAGGCTTGTCATTTTCTCCTTAAATGTGAGACTCTGATAGAAGGAAAAATCACAGTCATTGTCAGTAAGGTAGTCTGCATAGTAGTAATAATTAAACATCTTATGAAGTGTATTGCTTATAACCTAGAGCTCACAAAAAAGTTTAAAAGTATATTAAATGCAATCAAGTACAGTCACATAGCCTGCTTAAAAATCCCCTTTTACACATGCATATGCTCTCCCTTTATTAAATAATAAATCTTTAAAGTTTACTTCAGAATTGTCTCACTGAGCTGCATGTGGACATAGGAGTTTTTACATAAGACAAACTATGGCAAAAGAAAAACAGATAAAGACTAATAAGAACTGAGAGATTTTCTTTGGTCTGAGAAAGAAATAAAAATAAGTGTTTCCAAGTAAGTCTGAATACATGAGAGGGTAGGGAATTTTTTTTGCAAAGGCAAAGTATTCTCTTTATTTTCTGACATAACCACAGTCCAGATGATAGTGTACATCACTTAAATTAAAAATAAATTAAAAAAATTTAAAATCTAGCTCTATCTGAAAAAAATCAGTAAACTACTTCTGTACCAGTCAACTTCCTCATGTGAAATGAAGGACATTTTAAGATATGTATTCAGAGATCACATAAGGCATTCTGGTTTGACTCCAGTGTGAGCTGTATAATATGCTACCACTGCTGTTCAGAACAGATTCTGGGGAGCAATATGACCAATAAATTTAACAAACAGTCGTGCACAGTGTTGGCTGTGAAATAAGTGTATATGGATTGCACTGGTTGTAAGGATTTCAAAAATAGGAGTTTATCCTTCAACCTTACAGGGTGCACAACCCTCCACAGTGAACCACTCTGTTGTATGGCAATCAACTGCAGATTCTTCATTTCAACAAAAATAATTTGGATGCATACTAAAGTCTGAAAAATACCATATATATACATGTGTGTGTGTGTGTGTGTTTATATATACACACAAATAAATAAATACATAAAATGTGAACTTGCCTTCATTGGTCCCCAGTATGTTCAAAGACAAAAGATTTTCACCTCTCTCCAATAAGTTTACAGAGTTTATATTTTCATTAATTTTCATTTTATATCAGCATGGATTAAATTGGTATTTTTGCTTACAGCTACCAAAATAGTCATGAGATAGTAACTTGGACAAAAAACCTGCCATTGTAGATATTCAACACAAACAGAATACAACACTCTTCAGAAACTCAGCTTTTTAAACTGTCTAGTTTATTTTTTGTGAAGGTGTCAAACAATAACATGAACTTGTTTTTCATTTTCACTAGTTACAAGTTTTGAACAACAAGAAAAACTGTATCTTGAAATCACCCTCAAGGTAACTGAAGAAGAGTGATGATATTGTATAACTAAATTCTACAAGAAATTAGAATCTCATGCTATTTTGCCAAATAGTTTTTTATGTGGTAGATTTAATTCTTTAGATTTTTACACTATCTGATCAAGAAATCAATACCACACTGGCAGAGGTAACTAATTCTGTGCTAAAACTTAGTTTGCTACAGTTAAGGGAATTCTGAGAAGAGGCACGTGGCAAAAGAAGCTGATTTGTTTCTGTGAAGTGATCTATCTACTTCACACAATCAAAACTAAGGACCATCAATAAAGACAGACAGGGACTGACTGCTCTCAGCAAACACATCGAGGGGACAAACACCAGTTTGAAGCTAACAGACAACACTGGAACAAGAACAAATGGGGTAAGTTAGACATAAATAAGTTTAGGCTGGAAATTAGAGAACAGTTCTAACCAGCAGAGTGGGGCGATTCTGGAAGAGCATGGTGATGGAAAAGTAGGGGCAAAAAGAAAAGAACAGAACCAACAAAAAGCCTTTCCTTCTAGGAAGGAGCTCAACTGGTAGTGAAAGGGATGGCCTTGCAACTGTCCAGCAGAGTGCTGAAGAGGTCTCCTCCCATCCTACACTCTCATGTGAAACATGCTACCTCTTGTACCCCAGATGAAGTGACTGCAGTGGTAACTATGCACAGAAAAGTCTGAGTAAGGCAGGGCTTTTCTGCGGTAGTTACAATGGGTCATACTTACAGCAACAGAGGCCCACTGCCATGCAAAACAGTGACTGGTTGGCATCTGACCGTGTGAGCGACAGCAGCCAGTAAGAACGGAAAATAAGAAGCAGAAGACAAAGCACCACCAATCAATGTCAGAGTTGCCATTACAACACCCCTGCTATGTTCTCAACAGATGAATATAGACATGTAAAAAGCAAGTTAAACATGTTGCAGCTTTCAACTGAAGGTATTTTGATCATGGGCTTTCATTTGAGAAGCCCAATAGGAATATTTTCATGTATCATTTTAGGCCTTCTAAAACAACCAAGCAAGGTCACTTGACACATCAAAAGTCCTCAATGGAAAGTTCCGAAGAAAAGCAACACAGCTGCATGTGAACTTACTAAAAAAAATCTGGATGCACTACAAATTTGAATTTACTCAATATTTTTTCCATGACAATCAAGAATATTGACTTTATTTCATAATAGTTGAAAAATCTTTTACTTTGTTTCTGTCACCAAAACCAAACAGTCAACTTCCTCAACAGAAAGCAAGTAAGATAAATGAAGAGCTACTCATGCCAATCATGGTAAAAGCACTGCAGTTTTCAGAAATTATCTTCACATACAGAATGCTTTTGTTTTTCAGATGAAACAAGAATAGACATATTACCTAGCTGTTCACACAGCCAGAAACCTTAAAACGAGCAGAAGCCACAGAAGACAGTTTTACAGAAGAAATACGTCTATGTTGCCAGTTTAAGAGCAGCATGAAAACTGAGAAACATACATCACTGAGTAGAAACAGTCACTACACCAAAGCTGCAAGGTTTACAGAGCATGTATGGCTCTCTGTTGCTTTTTGGATTGCAATGTTCTTCCCCCCTCTAGTTTCCAGTCTAAAGTTAATGAATAAAAAAATCTGGAATGGAATGGAGACACAGGAAAAACAACAGGTTTGTGTTGTAACAGCCTCTTTAGAGGTCTTACCGGAGTCATGCGAATCGCTGGATGTGCCCCACAGCCCTGAATGGCTTTGTGAAGCGTCTCACTGAACATGCTGCGGAGCTCCATGGAATGGCAGTACACAGCATCGATCCGGGGCCACCAGTCCAGCGCAGACTGCAATGAAAACACAGAGATCATCAAACGCTAAACTCGTAATACATGGGTTCAATTATGATTTATTTTATACCTCTACAAGTTACAAAAGCTTTCAAAATATTTTTGGCATTCAGCATTTACTACAATTTTACAGTATTTCAATTCACACTTGAGCAAAGCCAGGAGGCCAGCGCTTCCCCTAAGTTCCCACGTCAATACACTAAAAGGAGCAGAAGGTGTTGTAACAATTAATGTCCTGAGAGTGTCTTTCGTGTACCAATAAAGCAGAATCTATTATAAAACCAAAGAGCACAAGATTCATTCGTCATCCTGCATTAGAGGGTATTAAAACATGTTTGTATGGACATTTTATACTAGAATACAAGCTCTCAAACTGGAAATGCAACTGCTGGAGAGCATGAATAAAGATTTTTATGTCCTTCCTTATTAGCAAGCAACTCTTGCTGCATGGATACAGGCAACAAGATCTGGTCTACTATTCAAGTTGTATTTCATAAGCAGATATTGATCTGAATAGAAGCCGCAGACTGCCGGGCTGATTAAATACTTTCAGAACTTACATTTGTGATTATTCGGTGGAGTGAATTTACCAGTACATAATGAAATGTTGATGGGGAATTCTGTGCCAAGCAGATCTACAATAAAAACACATAAAAGCCACTTAGGAACGTATTTTTCTTTGCCATCTTTCTTATCACACTGAATAACATACTGGAGCCTTTTTATTAAATTGACAAAGCTGTCAAATCCAAACATGAGAAAGTCTAATCAGCTAAGAAAAGATTCACAAAAACATGCTGAAAGAAAGACATGGACCAGTTAGAACAAGTCCAGAGAAGGGCCACCAGGATGATCTGAGGGCTGGAGCACCTCTCCTATGAAGACAGGCTGAAAGAGTTGGGGCTGTTCAGCCTGGAGAAGAGAAGGCTCCGGGGAGATCTTATAGCAGCCTTCCAATACCTGAAGGGGGCCTACAAGAAAGCTGGGGAGGGACTTTTCATAAGGGCAACTAATGACAAGACAAGGGGAAATGGGTTTAAGCTGAAAGAGGGGAGGTTTAGATTAGATATTAGGAAGAAGTTCTTCACTGTGAGGGTGGTCAGACACTGGAACAGGTTGCCCAAGGAAGCTGTGGATGCCCCCTCCCTGGAAGTGTTCAAGGCCGGGTTGGATGAGGCTTTGAGCAACCTGGTCTAGTGGAAGGTGTCCCTGCTGATGGCAGGGGGGTTGGAACTGGGTGAGCTTTAAGGTCCCTTCCAATCCAAACCATTTTATGATTCTATGCAGGGATTTATTACTAAGGGATATTTACACAGTTGAACTTATTTATGAGCTTCCAGTTGCTGTTAGCATGTCTTTTGTAATTGACAGGTCATCAATAGTATGTGGAGAATGACTTACCAGTAAGTAGTGTTCTCACCTTAAAGTGTTGGTTATTATGAGGGTTTATGCGGAAGCAGGAAACTAAGCAGTCAATCATAAGGTCTACATCTGCGTTCTGATTGCCTCTTGAAAAGGGTTTGCTTGGATTAAACAGCAAATTCTATGTATTTAAAAAAACACAAATATATAAATCAGATACCAAGATTATTCTTGTCTATTTTCAATACAAAACGTTCCACTGAAAACCACTATGGTATTCAATTAAGGAGAAATTCAAAGTTTATTTCAGTATTTAAAAATTCAAATTTCTTCATTGCAATTAGGAAATAGACATTTTTACCTTAAGATCTACTACCATGGACTGCACCAGTAGGAAAATGACAGAATTATCTTCCCAGTTGATGTAGGTAGATGCTTTGCAGAGTTTAACACAAGCAATAGCAGCACTTTCAGTCAGCTGTCTGCTCCCACTGTGGCCTGCAAGTGCTTTCCTGAGATTGTCCAGGAACAGTTTCTGCAGAATTCAAATCAGGAATAGTTATAACCAGAGTGTTGGTAATCTGTGGTCAGGGTTTTCAGATCCTTAAATACTGAAAACAAACAACACTGCATTTTCTGATCAGAAACCATGGATATTGAGATTGCAAAGAACAACTTGACGCAGCATTCTGAAGAAACGTTATGTTTATTAAAGACATTAATTTTGAACTATCTAAGGCAATCAGAATGGCTCAAAGATAGATGGTTGTTTACTCTTAATCATAATGTTTGCAGTCAAATTCAACATCTGCTATAGGTACTGCAGTTCTGGAACACACAGTACACACGCTGCAGAAACCTAGATCAGTACAATACAGGCCAGTTAGAAGCAGTGTGGAGTTGGCTGCTGGTGGGGACAGGGAAAATCAACACTACGATTCAAAACCCCAAGGAGATGTAAAAGTTCTGAAGTACCATTGTTTGGGACATACTATCTGTATGTGAAAACTACTGACTGTGAAAGAATATATGTTGGGTAAAAACTTTAAAAGGGTGAAAAAAATTATATATGGAATTGTGAAGTGCTTTCTAGGCAGGAAAGACAAAATAAAATATACCTGAAATACAGAATAAGCAAACACAAGTATCCTCTAGAAATCAGAACCAGAATTCAGATACTTTTCTTCTCTTACCTTGTTCATTTTAGTTTCTTCTACCACATCCTTCACTATATCTTGAATTATCTCTGGACACAGAACCAGGAGGATGATTTGCAGTGGCCACACTGCTGCTTTACGTTTTGTGCTTTCAGCAAAGCCATCTACCAAGTCAAACAACTTCTCTGCACAATCTGCATAAAATATAACACCAAGTTCAATACCATTTTTAATTATGGAAACATAAAGAACAGGTATAAAAGATCAGAGGGGCAGCTCTGTCTACACAGAAAAAAGTTCTGTTTTGCACATTATTGGGGATAAAACAGTCTCAACCCAGTTAAAGACATGGTTTACCTGAAAATAAAAATTCTCCTCTCTTTTTGACTAGAGACAAATACAAGTGATGTTCTCAAGTTTTTTGTTTTGTTGGTTTGTTTTTTTTCTCTGTATTGGGATGAAAAATACATATTTGAAGAGTTTCCATCTTTTGGGGTTTATTTCTTTGTGTGGTGAACCACAAAATGAATCTCTTTAAAAGGTGAGTCAGGAGAGAAAAGAGGTAGCAAGATACTCTTGCTTGCCCTGACAAAGGTTGACAGAAATTTGTTTCTTATTTGCAGGCTGCACGAGAAGCAAAGAGGCCACAAAACACGAGTGAATGTGGGGATGTCTGAGAAACCAACTTCTGAAGACACTGTCACTTGTTATGCCTTACCAGCCATGTCAGTCTGCGGCGTTTGGTACAGCTTTGTGAATTCATCAGGATAGTTCTCCACCCAGTTCCAAAATGCCTGCAGATAATGCAAAACATCTTTACACTCCAGAGCTTAAAAAGATTCTTTCTGAATTATGTATTTAAATGAAGAGAGATTTCACTCTTACTTCTAATCACTCAACATTTCTTGCAAAACATACATGCATTGAAGGGATGGGCCAACGTATATTTTATAGTGAATTACTGGATTGCAACTATTCCTCAATTAGATAAAGTCTGCAAATAAGCATTGAAACAGAAGATAAATATTAAAATACTTACCTTTTCAAGACTGTTGATAACAGCTAACTGAGCTACTTTCTTAAGGGCTTTAAACTTGAATACAGTCTCTGTAAAGGTAAAACATTTCTGCATTTAGAAAAGAAACTTGGTTCTAAAAAGTGACACAAATTATAAAAGACATTTGAAGTGCAAAGCCATTTTTAAACCAATGTATTTATGCTACTTAAGTATTTTTAAATATTTTGCTAAGCATATGAGTAATTGGAGTAAACATAGCAACAAAAAGATACCCATATCAATACCACTGTGTCGCCTCTAACTAGCCACATTCAGGTAAGAATATTTCCAAACACGGGCTCAAATCATACCTTGCAAGAGTCGTTTTAGTTTCGAACAATCCACACTGATGTACTGTAAAAGTTCAATATCATGAACATCAGCATTATCTTCTGAACAAACAGTCAGTTCCTGTAATCTAAAAACAGGCAAAGTAAACTAAATTCTCAGTCAGATTACGTCAGATAGGTCTGAACACGTACCTACGATTCTACACATCTGAATAGCAAGGGAACATTATATGATCTCATATAATACAACCTCCTCAGATAAACTTTTCCAGGTTTAAGGAATGAAAGACAGACCTTGCATGATTAAGAGTTAATATCATTGTCTTATTCCATACTCATACTGAAAATGGATCTAGAAATACCAGTGATGAGTCTTACAAGACACCAATACCACCTGCTGATAGTCTGCTTATGCCCAAGATTTGCCTAAACCCTTCCGTTATCTACCACACTGTAGCAGTAACTTGCCATCTTTTCATCTAAATATTAAATTGATGAAATCACGACACCTTTAGACTACTGCTCATTACCAGCAAGTCTTACCCCAGCTAATTTCTCAAGAGCAAAGCAGTGACTGACAGTACTTAATGTAGCTGAAGTGAGCTACAACCACTCCCTGTAAGCTAAAGCAGGTGCCTGTTTTTCTGGCCTAAGAAACAGGAGGAAGTTTAATCACACTGCTTTAAACACAAAGGCACCTTCTCACACTTCTGTATCAGATGATTTACTGAATATCTCATCAGATACTAAGATGCTAATAATTAAATCACATATTCTCACAAACTAAAGATTGCCATGTCTTGTTCCAAAGCTACAGATGTGTTTTAGACACGGAATGTGATTTCTAGTACTACACACAAAAGCAGTTCTTCATTTCTTCAACGCCAGGGAAACTTAACAGCCCTCGCTGGGAATGGGAAGGTCCCCACTGCTGTGCTTTCCGTGCCAAAAATCCCCCAGCTGCTGTACAAGGCCTAGAAATATGCCTAAACAGGAAGCACAGGTCAAAGGATCAGCAATGCTAACTGTCGGCAAGCTGACCCCTGTGGAGATCAGCAACAACTGGTCAAATGTTTAACTATTTACGTACAAGCCATCTTGAAATGAAAACCAGGTTAGGGGAAAAAACACTATGTTCCAGCTCCAATGGATGGTAAGAAGGACTTTGGAGCTTGAGAACTAAAACATGCTACAGACATATGAACAAACACAGATCCATGGACTAGATTCAAAGACTGTCTAAAAATTTCAACTGAAAAATACTTCCTGCAAAAGAAATTGTTTCCATTTCCATAAGCAACAAAACATAATCAACCTATTGAGTAAAACCACATCCTCCATGCTGGCTGCCAAGTCTATGTTCTTGAAACAGAAGTTATTAAAGGCTCTGTAAATGTTTTTGAAATACTTAAGATTTCAAATCATTCAATGATTTTAGACTGATTTCTAAAACGCAAATATTTTCCAAAATGTTGGAATAGAAGTGTTTTTACATTGTAAGATATATATAAATCTTTGTTTCAATTAAATTGGCACATTCATTGCTATGGGACCACATAAGGCTGCCCAAGCTCCACTTCTAATAAATCCAGGATGATGTTAGCTGTAACAATGTGTGGTAAGAGCTAAGCTACTTCAAGCAACTTTCAAAAAACATCAAAGAATTTCAGTAAGAAAAAGCTCAATACACAGCTCGAGTGGATTGGCAAATGCTGAAGCATCAGAAAGGCGTGAACGGGGCAGAGAGAGCAAAGAAGAGATGGAAACTTTGGGCCTCTCTTCTCACTTAGAACAGCAGAAGAGAGTTATTTTCACAGTAAATGTGCTGTAAAACTCGAGTCAGTTAGAAGACAAATGGGTCTTTTCCAACCACTAACATACAGTCCAGCTGTTTTGTCCCCTTCAAGCATGAGGCAGATTTAACATAAAAGCTTTGAAGCAGGAAAAATTAGGAAGGAAAACAGCCTTGGGGCTCCAGCAGAGCTGTAGACAATAGGAAATTTTGCATTCTGAATTCCTAAGTGAAGGGATACAACCCATTACCTTCAGCATTCTTTTTTCCCAAAACACCTTGCACCCACAAGAATATTCAACTTCAGCTGAGTTATCGTTATTTTCACTCTACAACAGCACTTGACTTGCACTTATGAAAGCAGATTTAAAAAGCAATAAACACAGCTCACAGAAAATACACTGGCAGTAACCCAGGATGGGTATGAAACAGGTTCACTGTGTGACCTGAAACTCAGGTAAAATTCTGAAACATACAGGGAGTTTCACTTAAGAACTATCTTGTTAAACATCATTTAAAGAGTTAACTCCTCTGAAATTAGAAAGACTACAATTCATGACACCAGCATTTAGTAGATCTTCTAATACACTAAGTCAGGCTCCTGAAAAACACCTACCTGGTGGAAATGCGGCTGAACACAGCATTAAAGTTATTGCAGCTAAGAGAAAAAAGAACCCCAGAGGCAGAATTTCGTAGCTCGGCTGCATGCTGGTTCCCTTCGCGGTAAGTGTGGATGAAGTGGCAGATTTCTGGCAGCAACTGTTTGACCAGCATAGTCTCGTCTAGTCGCATGGTATCCTTTGGTTGCTAAAAAGAAACATTCAGTATTTCATTAAATTCCGTTTTGTGGGTTTGGAGACAAAAAAATGGAGCATCTGCCACTAGAAGGAACCTGAATGTGAACTTCTAATTCTGCCTGCAGGCTACCACTGAGCGTAGCGTGAGTAGTCTGCACAGAGAAGGCTTCTTTCCATCTCAGCAATCACCTGTATCATTCAAGCCATCTTACAGTTTGTTAAGTCTCCAAAATACACAGGACATCAAGTTGATCAATGTCATCAAGTATCAAACAAAGTATCAAGCTACTTTTTCAAGTGAAACACATTTCTGTTGATCTGTGTAAAGTATTAGCAGTACAGCACTAACTATCTCTGCTCTGAATGGGACCCACTCTCACTTCTCTTTTGGGTAGTGTTCTAACCACTGTATTTTGACAGTAAATATTTTATATTCAAAAAATGAAAAAAAAAAAAAAGGTGCTTCTCCCTTGCTCTTGCCTGGGATTGCTCTATACAAGTCAAAAATGGCTTAACTTTCCTGCAAAAGAAAAACCTAATTTTTGCCAGTTTGCACAGTGTGAGACATAAGGAAACTATTTATAAAAGAATTCAAAGTGAAACTTTGCTCTACTAAGAGCAAGTCTTAACAGAAGGGTCAGCATTAAAGCTTTCTAAAATTCTACCAATGAATTTACCATAGGGAATTGGGAAGTTTCAGAGACTCCCACTTAGTTGACCTGAGTCCTGTTGCCATGAGAACTTGATGAAACATTGAGCAAGAACAGCGAGCAAGAAATGTCTGAAGATATCACAGAACACAACGCTCTTTGTATAGAACTTTGGCTCCGTCTTATTAAACATATAGTGGCTCAACTTGCTCTCATTTGAACTGACAAAGCAAGAAGTATTCAGCACAATTTAAGGCTGTTCAAATATCACCATCTATCAGGAAAAAACAACTAACATTTCAAATAATACGCATATAAGAAATATTTAAAAATAATTAATTTCTGAAGTTAAAACAGTTTGACTCACTGCATCAAAGACACAAAAAATGACAAAAAGAGGTACTTACCTCAGCTATAAAAGCTGAAAATTATTCCAGAAAATGTATTTACCTGGATCTTTTGTGGATTTAGAAGAATCCACAATTATTCAGACTGTTTGAGTACTGTAATATTAAGATATGCTGCTTGACAAATCTAACCATTATAGGGTCATTACCTTAGAAAGATAGTAACTTCAAAAACTGTTGCAGGCAAACAGCAAAGAGCTTAGATGATTTCATGACATTCATCCAGGAATACAGCTTTAAAAAAAAAATTCCTTTCTTGTTAAAGGAATAAACCATTGCAAGTTCTGCTCACAGTGAAGCTTGGCTTTGCAATTACACAGTTCAGTACAGTAAGTGGTACAACCGTTCCCATCCCAGAGGTAACAGCAAACTGCCTCGCGGCTCAGCTCTGACTGGAAGGCTCAGGACTGGACTCCCAGTGGAAGTTTGGACATGGTTAACTAATGTAATTGAGGAAACACCTGCCAAAGTAATCTCTAGAATAGTGACAGCAAAGTTTCTGCTGTATGTACAAGTACATGAAAAAACTACTTCACCAAATGGAAGTTTTAAGAAATTTAAGGAAAAATCAACACTGTAGTAGCAAACTTAATAGCATAAAACTTAAAATATCTGTACTGAATTATCTGCTACTTTTAACATGATTTACTATCCCATTACTTTTTTTTTTTGGTTTAAATTGTGGGATGAAAATGTTTGATGCATCTATTCAAAAACTACTGAGCAGAATATGCCACAAGCATCTAAAGCTTATCAAAATCTAGCGACGCTTCATAACCACATCTAATTCTTCCTCTGGGTTTGTGTCTTCCCTGACTCCATTTAACAAATGTCTGAGTACAGATGTCTGCAATTCTTTAAGAAATCTTTAGAAGAAAACAATTCTTTATAACTCCACAAATCAGTTGAGTAGCAGGAAGGGCAAATTCAAAAGTTTACTTGAATCTCTTTAGCTGAAAAAAGATCACTAATTTTAGGCAAGCAAAAAAGCACCCCACAAACCCTTAATTTATCAATTATATCAACTACTTGCATTGATAGGAAGTTTTAGTATTTTTTAAATAGCATTAATCCTACTTTGCTCTAAATCAGATGAGTTTTAACTTTAGTATCAGTCATAATAGATACACAAGCATTTGACTTGTACTCTCTAACTCATTTGATTCCAACTTAGCAATTGCTTATGCAAGCCTACTCACCCCTGCCAGGCATTTTTCCAGTGTATCCAAGATAATCAACTGAGATAGATATAAATTCTTTTCAGCGGTTTCTCCAAATATTCTCTAGAAGTAGAAAGGATATGGATTCATCTGAGACACAGACACTTGACTTGTAACACATTAATGTTGCAGAGTGGCACAATAAGTTAAGGATCCTTTACTGCTCTGGTTTTGAGTTTAGAAATAAAATCAGCAAAAATTAGATTAAAATAGGAATTAAAACCTTATCACTGAAGAAATACCTTTGTTCAGTCTGCGATGCCAAATCTAACAAGGAACAAACAGTTACTGCAAAATAGGACTGGAGGTACACTGCAGCCCCTTACCTTCACCAGGCCTATAATTTATTCAGAAATGAAGGTGACACCTTTTCAGAAACTGTTTTGGTATCAGTTACCGACAGCTCTTCTCCAATTAAGTATTTCATTGCCAGCATCTTAATAGAACTGATGTTACAACAAATCCATATGGACAAGCTCATTAGAGTGTTACAAAATTTAGCACACACCACAGGAAGAAACACACAAGACCCTCCAAAAAGATGCCACACTTCAGATACAGGACGAGGCAGAACTCCATCGGGTGTTTAAGCTAGCACTCAGATTTACTGCCAACAATAGTGACTGGTTCCAGCAACACTAGCACAGCAAAATGAAGCAGAAAAAGATTTAGCCAAAAATATTATTGGTACTACTGCCTACACATGGAACACATGTAGAAGCCACCCAAAGGAAGTTATATCTTAAACTACATCTAAGCTTCAACCAAGGGCAAACCCTCAAGACATTTCTGTGAACTAAGACCACTATGACAGTCTATTGGGCTGGTTTGTTTCAGCTACAGAAATCCTTAAAAATATTGCTGACTCATAGGGTAGCTCAGTCCATCAAACCAAAAAATGTTAAGTCTTGCTCCTCAATGTAAAGCACATGACTTTTTAAATTGACATTTTTAGCTAGGTTTATTCTCTCAAAATCTATATATCATATACAGGAACTTGTTTAGCTGTATAGTTTTCTCATTGATCAGAATCATCTTACACATCAACATTCTTTCATGCCTACGGAGTTTAATTAATTCTCTCTCAAAAGGGATTACAGGTAGCTCTAAGCACCTAAAACCCCTGCCAGTGGGGCAATCTATTTTCTGATTTTATCAATCACTGGTAGTGTTTCAGCAGATGCACATCTCTGAACATCTGACATCCAAAAAAGCTCACTGCAAACTACCTTCCTCAAACCACAACAAAAAAGTACTGCTAGAGTCTGGCCAGTTCTGTTACCAGTTTGTGGAGATTCCACATGATCACAAATCACACCCCTTCAAAATTCAAAGAACTAAACTTTTCTTACGACAAATCCAAACCCAGACCTTCCATGGCAGGGGAGAAAAAAATATATTGAACTGTATCTTTCTCCTCATAAAGGATTCTTAAACTTTCCATTTATTCAGCTTGATGGTAATAGTTATTTTTGTAGAGTTGACACTAAGGACATCCACATTCATTTTTTTTCTTTCTAGTTTTTGCTCCTCTTTGGTTCCAGTGAGATCTATTTTAAACGACAGTTTTAGTGATGCTGATGAGTCAAATATTTTGATAGATTTCAGGAATCATTTTATGGTTCCATTGGAGAACAAAAAAACAGTATGTAGAAGGAAATCATCTACTAAGACACTTGTCTCTAAAGATTTCTCTTTGGGAACTCGTGGGAAAATCATCTTGAATCTCACCCCTCCACATCAGCCCATGGCCCACAAGTATCAACATCAAGTGGTTTAACAAGAGGCTGCGATCCCCAGCAAACAGTAAATGGAAGAGATGTGCATCACCCACACACTGCTCCTTCACTGTCCTCACTGCCCAGCCAGGGGTCCCTTTGGAGGCATGAGTCCTTAGTGGCAGGACGACACAAGAAATTGATTTCAAACATTTTTCTTACAGGGTTCTGATAGAAATTCACCTGGTTGTTAAAATACATCTATTTTATATATGCACACACACTAATGCTAAAACATCCAAACAGCCTGGAAAATTCAGACAGTCCAAGTTTTAAATCCCTTTCCCTTGTTTTTCCCTTCATTCTTTCCCAAAATTATTCCTGGCAGGTCACATCAGGGGGAAAAAAGCCCTCACTGCCCTGCTCTCCAGGCTTTGCCAGCACCACTTCCCCAGCTAACTGAGCACCTTTCCCTGCGATGGCAAACGTCCTCCCTCACCTCGCGACGAGAGCACCTTCTCCTGGTACCTAACGACAGCTCAGAGACCCAGTGTGGTACCAGGTACCTTGATGCAGCCACTCCTTCACTAGCCACTTACCTTCCCAGCTACAAACCCTTCCCTTGACTAACAATCCCTCCCTTCCTTTACATTTCTCTGCCACAACTCTCTCATCGCCTTTGTATGTAACACAGCTCAGTGCTGTCGGTGAACTTCAGCACAGGAGGATGAGAAGAAAAAAGATAAGTGTAAAAGTCAAGCAACTATCTGACCAAATTTCAAGTGACTCTCTGAAGACTGTATAATATAAATAAATAGCAACCATTTTGAAATATCACCCAGCAATCCAAAATTAGAAAACTTACCATGTTATTAACATTTTTTAAGATATTAGTGAGACCACTGATGACCAGGGAAAACTTGTACTTGGAAATGTTTATGAGACATTCTTTGTTGTGCTCCGTGCTGACTTTGGTGTGGGTATTCTGCTGGCTAGCCTTTATTGGAAGCTACAAAGAGAAATAAGCATTATAAGTTTTTTTACATTGAAATTTACATCTCTAAAGATGGGTTAAAGTTTTTTGAGACACTAGAAACAACCTTGGAAAACATTCTACAAAAGACAACAACAAAAATGTTATTTAATTTTCTCTACATTCATCTTTCTATTTGTTATCTATAAAACAAAATACCAAAGTTCACCTGTTCCTTTGTCTGGACTGAAACTAAACCTCTATTTTGTGATAAATTTTCTACAAACCAAATGTCAAAGCCATCAAAAGGAGCAGAAAAATGTAAAACAGAATTTTGAGAAGAAAAGTTTCTGTATTTCAAAAATTGGGTCATTAAACACCAAAAACCTGAGAGGAGGTAAAACCACAGTAGCTCACAAAGTAGGTGGGCTGGAAGGTGGTGGCAGAGGTTCCACACGTGTCCTCTACTCCTCCACAGGACAGAACAGAACTGGCCAAGAGGCACAAGCGAGTCCCAGGAGGAACCACCACCGACAGCCTCCGCAGGCCCCCAGGACTCGGTCCCTTGGGGTCCCAGCACAAACACACCCACCACCAGCCAGGTGACAAAGTCCCTCTCCCTCAGCCTCCAACATGCTTCACGCACTCGCGAGCCAAACACGACCTGCCAGCCCCACATCACCTCCCCCTGACCAACATCCAGCGGTAAAAACCAGACCTGAAATGCAGTTTTTCCAGAAAAGATAAGATTCAGAGTGAGGGCACAGAACCGAGACGCTGCTCCTGCTGAGCACACACGGGGCACTTTGTTCCTTCTGCACCCACATTCTCCAAGGGTCACAGACGAGGCACTTCCCAAGCACGCACCCACTTCCCTGCACGCTCCTCGCTGGAGCCGGCGCGTTACGCACCACCAGGAGAAAATGTGGGAAGGGGCTCTTTGGAAAAACTCATTTTACTGAGAATTCTCATTTTTAAAAAGCAACTGAATGTGGGAACAAAAAAAGGAACCAGTGTTATCACCCATTTTACAATTCACATGTGCCATATGTATTTTAAAGCAAGACCTAGGAATTCACTATCTACAGAAAACTTAATTGCTACTACAAGTTTGGAAAACTTAATTGCTACTACAGGTTTGGAAAACTTAATTGCTACTACAAGTTTTAACCAATTTCGACTACAATTCTCGATAAACATGTATTCTGAAAGGCACTGATAGCTCAAAGTAAACGCCACAATGTCATATTCTGCATTAGAAAGGGTGTCTTTAAAAAAAATTTAAAAAATAAAAAAGAGAGAGAGAATTTAAGAACAGTGAAAAGAAGAATTCCAAGGAATTACAGTCAGTTTTACAGCTGCTAAATACAAGAGCAGCCTGCACGGCTGGGGACCTCTGCAGACTGGGTGAGGGCACATCCCATACAGTCACCCCGTTAAACCGCTGTCAGCGGCCATGACCATCTCTGCCAACCATTTAACATCGCAGTCTCTGCTGATAAAAGTTTAGAGGCTCACATTTAAAATGTTAGATGAGTTTTATTAAAGAACCCCAAACCTGGAACATTTTTTTTCCAATAGTTTTGAGTGCATTGTTAAATGCAGTCTACTTAACACGTTTCCATTTGTAGGGAAGTGGACCTCTTTAATACTCTACCTGGTTTTCATGCCCAAGTGTCATTTCCTCCCCATATAAACCGTGGTTTGGGTTTGAAGTATCAGTTCTTTTGGTACTACAGACTGGGATCCCACTGGAAACTGGTTGCTTCTTCCTAAGAGGATGGCTGGCTCTTCAGTGAAACAATGACCGAACTGCCATCTGCCAAAGACCCAAGACAACAGAAAGGTCCCCGAGGAAGGTCTGCTCCCGATTCAGAGAGAGGCTCAGGGATCTCCAGCTCCAAGCACTGCATCCAGGGAGCCACACCAAGAGACACCATCAAACCTGCCCCTTCATAAGAAGGTCCGACACTTTTTGCCTGCACAACCTCCTTTGGCAGCAAGTTCCATAGGGCAATCAAGGTAATTTCCACTTTATTTTGCAGTTCTCTTGCACGGGTTCAGACTGAAATGCCTCAGAACAGCGCGCTGCTTCTCAACGCGCTCGTTTAAAAACTGGAAAAAGCAGAACAAGCAGCACTTACGACTCCAGCTTTGTTTTCATTGTTAGATGTTATTCTTACAATACATTTTTGGAAATCATAGTGGAAGATAGATACATTTAGTTAAATATTTCACCATTACTACTACTTTTTATTTGAATTTTCAAGTCTCTGTGCTGACAACAGCCGAAAAGCTCAACACCACTGAGTGATAAAACACTTCAGAAGTGCCTCTCAAAGAAACTGTGTCACACTCTACTTCTGTACACTTCCATGCTATAGAAACATCATATCACACACTTCTGGAGCTTCCTGCCACAACAGCCACCACAACAAGGTCACCTAGAAGTAAAACTGCTTTTTATACCACCATTTAAAATAGGAAACTATATAAAAAGGAAATATTAGCACTGTTGTCTTGTTTGGGTTTTTTTTTAATTTCTCAGCTATTTCCTTCGTGCACTCTGACATGCTGGAGCACTACATAGGAAAAACAGGTAAATGAAATCTGGAATCTTTCCAACTATCAAATTTTAAATCTTTCAAGATCAATTAAAAAAAGAACATTGCTGCAAAAGACAAGGAAAAGCCATTAAATAGCTGAGCCTGACAGTTGCAATAATACAGTACAAGACCCAGGGCTTCCTGAATCCAGGATACAAGTCATCTGGTACATCAGCTATTGCTGAAACAACTAGAAAAGCAAATCTTTAAAGATGAAGCATCAAAGTATCTACCACCTCACATCAGCCAGGCAGGCTCCCTCGTTGGTAAAACACAGATTTTGACCACAGAGACAGCTTAAGCCAAACTTTGTTCCTAGAAATGCATTTCTGACACCAATTTAAGAAGCTTTGCTGACCTGTCTACAGCTTCTCCCAAGTCTGCTAGTGGCACTACACTGAAACTGAACAGTTCTCACAAGGTTTATTAAATGCAAAGAGACAACAAAGAACTATTAGGAGGAGGAAAAACAACACAGATTATATGAGATTATTTTCTTTACATTTCCAAAAGGCATTAACAAGTCATCTGGTCAATTTTCTGTCTACAGTGACATCCAGGAGGTCTGCAATACTGCTGGGGAGAGACGATGCAAAGGTTTCCTATGCCTAACCACTCCTACCTATCAGTCTCATCAGGCTTCTGAGACAAGAACTTTGTGAATTTATTTTAAAAAACCCAAAACAAGCGAGTATTTGGCCATTCCAGAGGAAGAAAGATTTAATGTGCATTCTTAACAAGATCTTCACAGTCAAATTATAAAGACTGGCTTTGAAACTTTGAAGTAAGTGCTACCACAGAATCGCAAAGCTGTTTAAAAAGAGGAAAGCACAGTGGCATCTGACAGCAGCACTGCAAGACTGTTGTGTCTTTCAAAGTGGCCTCAGTTCAGAGGCTGATGTACTTGTATTCAGAAATGCTGAGGAGTCCTTCTTTAATCACAGACATTAATTATTAAGAAAAATGCTGCTTTCCATGTCTGCAGAAGAGATGTTAGCATCTGTCTCAGGTATCCTCTAGTCTGAGAGGCCAGAGAAGGAGACTCCACAACCCCTCTGGGCAGCCTCTTCCAGTGCTCTGTCACCCTCAAAGCAAAGAAGTTTTTCTTCATTTGAGTCTGCTGAGAAAGGCCAACATTAAGCCATGGATTTTTCTTTATTAATGAATATAAAGTTTAATCATCTCTATTTAGTATTTAATATTCACATTTTTCAGAAATTATGGAGCAAGTGTAAGTGCTTTATCACTTCAAAGAAAGTCACTATTTCAACTTTTTTGTGCAAGACACAGTTTTGCAGAACATTAAGAATTCAAAATGTGACAGTTAAACCCAGTCTGCCACAGGATGCAGAACGACAGCTGCTGAAATCACTATCCTGACAAACCTCTCGACACAGGCAGCAGCACTGCCCAGCCACACACAGGTACTCCACAATCCAGCGCTTTCAAGACTCAGCTTGGCAGTGGCAGCAGATCACAGAGCCCTCTCACTGCCACCACCACCTCCACCTCAGGAAAAGGACTGAGGTCCAAATCACCTTCAGAGAGGGGAAGGTGGGACATCATTCCTGGGGATCCACCTCAGGGAAGGAAATTCTCCACTTGTCTGTAACAGGCTCATCATTTTCAGTGAGCAGCCTGAGATGCCCGAATCCATCTGAGGCTTGTGCCTCTGATTCAGATTCAGGACAAAGGAACAAACACAACATCCCTAGTGCTATCCTTACCAGCAGAGAAATCCACCTAGCTTCCCCCTTTCAAGTCATTTCTTGGAACTTCTTCAATAGACTGCAACACACAGATGTACTCGTCAGAGACACAGAATAGACAGAGCATATACTGATACCTCGGCATCACTGCTGTCAGAACCAGAAACAAATCTCCTTAAAAATCAACAGGCATCTTCCTCCCAACCATGAACACACACTGCATCACCTTCTAAAGTGGCATTATTTAGTAAAAGAGGCTTGCAACGAAGCCTCAGAACTCTGAAAGTATTTATATAGGTTGCTCTAAAAATATATATATATATATTTAGGTTAAAAGTTGGCACTGTGAACAATGGTATATTTCCCCACACTGTTACCACAAACTGCTGTGTTAAACAAGGAAGGATCACCAAATCATCCCGATGCTTCTCAGCAGCTCATTAGCGGACTCAGGTAACATCTGTCCCACAGGGGCCACCCCTTTATCTGTTCTTCAGGACACCACCTGTGTGCAGTACAGCACTCTGTTTTGAAATCCATTACACACACCGTTTTACAAAGGTGAGATCAAAGCTGCTTCAGATTCACGCGAGAGAAAGATGAAATAGCACACTTTGTGCCTCAGAGCAGCGTTACAGCCTGTCTTGGTTCTTAGCTCCTGGCTGTTTCAGACAGAGCAGTTGTGGAAAAAGTTCCCTCTTCTGCACAGAGCTCACAGCAA